TGTCGGAGTGGGCGTTCGCTGTGGCGGCTGATGTGCGTAGACGCGTCAGATGCCTGCTTGGCGTCGTAACATCAATCGGGGGGAGCCAGCAACTAACGTAACCTTCCCTCGTTAGAGAGGATGTATAACTGAGGGATCGCATCCTTCAGAACGTCGTACGCGTTCTCCTCCGGCGGTTCAAGAATAAGATCCCTAATGGCGGACATTCGGTCGCCAGGGATCGCCTCTACCGCGTAAACGTATTTGGAGCGCCGGCTCTGCACGTTACGAACGATAAACTGCGTTTCTAACGCAGCAAACCACACCTCAAGTACGTGAGGGATGAAAGCTACTGGATTAAAACTAATAGCCAATAGGTCCAGTTCCCTATCGTCTACTGGTTTACGCTCCTCGGCCATCGTACAATACCGATAAATAATTATATCGTGCAAATGAAAACGAACCGTGAAAACAAGTGCAAACCAAACCGGATTTAACTTACAAAATAGACGTTGCGGGCTTACCAATGAAGTTAACCGGCGTTGATGGACTGCCGATAAGTCTTCTTACGAATCTCAAATGGCGCGACCTCCTAGTGTCTGGTTGCCCGAGGCAGACAAAAACACTCGTGGGAGTCGTAGACTTTTATTTGCGAATCGTGGTACTAGATAGTACCGAGGTGACGCTAAACAATGCAGGCAAATAAATGCAGTAGCAAAGCGAAAGCGTGTCACAAGTGTTGCGTGGGTTTGAACAGGACCCAGCGCAAAACCGTGCTCAGTAAAACAAAGAAGTACCACAGTTGGAGTCAGAGTTGATTGCGAAGAAAATATGGAGGGAAAACGCCCCAGTGGATAGCTCGTTTTCTTCGTACAATCATACTCACTACAACCTGTCCCGATGAATCACACTGCCTCGTTGCACGTGTAAACCTTTCACTGCAGGTCTCGCCCCATAAACCGTTGGTAACGCGTTGTCCGTCTTCTTACCCGTTCACAGTATCCAGAAACGTTGAGTTAATTCGCGTTTAGTGATCGTAGACACCGCAATGTAGCTAAAACCCCACGACGGAACATTAGGCAAATAAAAAGGGCATTGTTGGTTCGTCATCAATAGATCAACTGACAGAGAACCCACCTACAAGAAACCCCTCATCATGGCTAGAACACATGCAGTCCTGTGTTATTGCACAATCTTTACTACAACCAATTGGGAAAGTCCCATAGACCAAAAGCATACCGTAAATATGAGTAAGGGAACATTCACGTAAGAACCATCTTATTGAGACCGTTTTACGAGTGGAAAGCAGTAATATTAGAGAAAGACAAATTGTCAGTCGGAAGGGGGGAGCACAAACAATAAAATCTTGTGAACGAAATCTCATAAGAATGACTAGATACCCGTGCACGGAACGGGCGGGCAAAAGTTACAGGATGAGTTTCTACCGATGTAAGCACCGAGAGGAACAACAAAGCAGTAACGGTGGTGATAAATGGAATCAACTGCTCCACGATGATCTGTAGAATGCACATTGGATTTTAAGGAAGAATCATCGATCAGCCAGATGACTGTCCGCCGAAGACAATCAAGAGTGGAAACGAAGAGGAAGCCCCACGTCACACATGGATGCAGTATGCCTTGTGACTCTTAGTGTCCACTGACACAAGAACCGCATTTCGGAAGAAAAAAAATTATTTCTCGATCCGTTTATTTTGATCTGTGAAGGAATTCAAAATTCAAAAACGATCGATCGTTTGGAGCCTATATACCTCCAATTGACATGTACTCTAACCTTGAAACAACCACTAACTGCTGCCTCTTCACCCGTTATTTCCACTATCTCACTCACAACCGAAACATATCCGACTGTCCCACGTTTTATACTTGAGCTTGGCCACCAGAGGCGTAAAAAGCTGATCTACCTGCCTAAATTGACTCCTCACATTGCTATCTTTTTCAGCATGCATTGACAATAAGAAAAAGAGCATTGCAGTGTCTTATTTTTCTGTACCGTAAAATTCTTCTGTACACAGAAGAATTTTGCACATGATACGAAATGTGCTCGATGCCAGTAAACATCTATGAACTTGAAGCATCAAAGATACCAATTTGTCATCTTCACGTGATCAGAGAAATTCTAGTGACCCATTTCAGCTTCCGCGTGTACTAAGAACTGCATTCATATTCTTAAGAACAAACCAACTCGAGTGCGTTCTGTGTGGTTTTAATTTAAAATTATTACAATGTTTGGTAGCTCCTCTTCTACAGATCGACCCCAAGATCATTCCTAAGTTCTAATATTACCGTATCTAGTAAGCCTGCACGAAATCCACCCATTCACGACTTATCTTTGGAAAGTGTCTCAGTTACCGAAACAAGTCGCGAAATCCGAGCAATGATATCTCGCTCGACAACAACAAGCACGAAGTGTGAGAATGAACGACAAAATCGAGGGACTGGTTCTCAAGGAAGGTTCATGGTTATAGCTCTCAGCAAGTAGAGTTCTTCGATGGCGCAAATGAATAAAGTGGTAACAGAAATTAGAAAAACGGACCTGTGTTTAACCGCACATTTGGCTGAAGGAGAACAATAGGAGAGTGGAAAAGAGAATTTTAGTAGATTGTCTATTCCAAAATACATCGGAGTGAATGTGCTCCATCCAACATCGACTAGATCTATAACCAGACCGATTTTCACGTGCGGAGTGTGATGCCAACGAGTTTAGATGCAATGTTGATAAAACTTATTCCTCCCAGTTTTCATAAAAGGATTTGTCGCGATTCTTGTAAACGAGTAAGATAAGCGATTCACATGTAGTTGAAAATTGTTCCCTATCCCAAATTGAGCCTCGGAGGTTGAACTCCGAATTCAAAACAAACCATCATCTTTAAAAGTCGACGAGAACAGCCAACAGGTGACGGTGGTCTTATGCCTGTTCAGATAAATAATTCTCCGGAAAACCTCCATTTCACATGTAGGGAGCTCGATGAAAGTCAGTGAAACTGATCCTCGAAATTCTCAGCCCATCGTTATTAACGCCGTTTCTGAATGTGAATTATTGATCAATCAGACTGATTAAGCACTTCACTTAAGCCTATTTTCCTTGGGCCCGTATTCCTACTAAGACGGGAAAGATTGTCTATTACCAATATCCACAGCCTTTCCCAACTCTCTACACTTTCCTAACCAAAAATGCCCGCGGTTACTCTTCAAACTCTTGATGAGCTGGCGCCTAAGGGACTTCTTCACTGTATTGCATTTGGCATCAGAAAGAATGGCTCTGCGGGCGTCCAGCAAGGTAGCCGAGGTCGACGAGACCTATCGTTTGTGCTTTGAGCCTGGTTCTCAGTCCGCCGTTGTTTGTATCGATATTTCCATTGGCTCCTTGATTTGCTTTCAGTGTTCATTGAATCCTTCGGCTGGTGGTCGAAATGAGAGGCGACCAGAGACCTAGGCTTCGAAGGATGATTTGCAACTATTGCCGACATTGTATCGGGAGTATCCGTTGCCGGTGGCTTTGGTGCGGTTGTGTACCAAGCGTAAGAATTTGGCTCACAACAAAGTACGGTCCCTATTCACAGATGTTAGCCAGTGACAGAGACAGTTTTGAATTGAACCCCTCCAGCGGTAATTGATGGTGATATGGTCGACTTGTGTTCATCGCCGTAAAGAGGTTGGGTGGTTTCCAAGCAGATCGGTGTCGCTTCTTGTGTGAGAGGTTCGTACTTGACGGAAACAATCCGTGGTCAGCGCAAAGCTGAATCAGGCGAATTCCGTTGTCCGTCCGGTTACTTGGGACTGCATGTCGAAACGCTTGGAGCCTCATGTGACACGAAAATAAGTTAAATCGGTCCCGATATTATTCCACAAATTGCTGACCACGATATGCACATTGAGGCTGATCGGTAAACATATCAACAACCTCGCAAGTGCTTATTAGAAAGCTTGCTGATTTATCCGTTCAAGTGACTTTCAACGCTAGTAGCGGCATACGCAAAGCAAAATAACGAGACGTCACCAACAATTTAGCCCTGAAGTACGCACTCCCCCAGCAGCCGCATCGGGCCAGATTTGGTTCAGAAACCAAATATTCGAGAAAGGCAAAGTTTGTGATACGACTGCAGATACAAAGATTTTCTCTCCATGGATTAGCAAATAAGTGTACGCCAATCGGACTGTCTGATATCAAAATGAACATAATTAGGCAACAAACAAAGACATTCCAGTCAACAGTGACAGCAAACTAATCAGTAAATCGACACGATGAATATCGGAATATTTTCGTTGAATACCGACTCTTCAGCAACACTGAAGCCAAACTGCTCTACGATTGCGATTAACAACGATGTCAATACATTTGACTGATGTTTTGAAAAGCGATGCACCTCTACAACAATATTTGAGTTCCCTCAATAAAACGACATAAAACGAAGTTTTCGCGTCACTAGAATGGAATCGTTTTAAAAATAAAATGTACAAGAATGGCTATCACTGGGAACTACGCATTGCGCGGAAATCCTCATCCACGGAATCCAAGTTTGTAAAGGATACGGAAAATCCGCGAATTTGATTGCAAATTGAACCTCGAATGGCGAGTGGCAGATGATCCGATCAGATAGTATGTTTGTGTGTCTATGGATCTGTGTGAATAGGACGACGGAAGGGCAAATCGATGAACTGTACTAATGTCATTTTTCTGAAACACGATCAGGCTCATCCAAATCATTAACTTTCTTTGGACTAGGGGTCTCATTCTGCAAAGACGCAGCTCGGATGCGCGACAGCAGAAATCCGGGAGTGGTATCAATCGCACGTCGTCCTCCTGAGAAAACAGAATTACAAAGGGGGAAGAGGAAGCTAGTAAAAGCAATAAATTGTTTTGAGTATGCAATTACCAAATGAAATCGGTTAGAAGCAAAAACAGCGGTGGCTACTGGTTCCAAATCTGATTAAACGGCCGTCAAGTGTACTCACAGAAGCGTGAAACCCCAACGGATGTATTGCGGTCGGCACACGATTTCCTAATTCGATACACAACAAACAGAATACAAAAGACTATCGTACCTATTTACCGACCGTTCTGCGGGCTGTTTCGTACACACGCTTTGCGCCATCCGTTAGACGGTTCAACCAACTATCCTGCTTGTCAGTGTTTTTTTCAGGGGGCGGAGCTTGGGTGTTGTTGTTTGTGGAGGGAGCCGATGAAGCCGTACCACCAGTGTTTCCAATTAATGCTTCGCGTAACTTCTTCAAACCTAACAGAGGGACAGATAAGCAAAGCACCGAAATAATTGTGCACTCCATGTGCGATGGATTATACTGATCACGTCTGACCCCTGATTTCAAGTTGACAGACTAGAAGACATTCATTCACACAGGATAACTAATGGCGGCACGTCACTAAGCATCTGGATGAATTGGGCTTAAAAAAGGAGAAAAGTACCAGACAAACTATAGGTTGAGTAAAAGGATACCATTATCCAAAACGTTTGCAATATCTTCTCAAATAAAAAAACTGTAACCAGCCAACTTTTAATAGTAAACGATATCCGTCAGATGTTAGATTACCCTATAACGCTGTATCTCAGATAGCATTGAACGGTAAAGTAATATACGATCCCACCTTTGAGTTAATGATACGAAACCACATTGATACTACAACCGTGGATTCTTTGAAAATGAAAAAGGATAAACAGGAATGCCCAAAGCAGGACAGATATGTAGAAAGCGAAGATAAGAACTATACAGTTACGCTAAACCATCAAGGAACAATCCGAGCTTGGAGACTTTCAGCCTTGATACAACAAGTAAATTCATTCCAGTTCAGTACTTCCAACCCTTACCCATGGTCCTTTATGCGGCACTTTTGGTTGCTGTCTAACCACTGTCTATTCGAATGAAGGAGTAAAAGACTGGAATGCTCAAGTCACTTTCAGAGTGAGCAGAGAGAGAGAGAGCAGACACACGAGCGCCTCTGATTACAACACAGCCAATCACCGGTTACGATAATCCTGAAGACTGAGATGGGCGGTTGAGGAGTCAGGACAGCCAGGGAGACCATGTAGGTGAACCCTGTCAAAAGAAACAGTGTGCCGAACAGTTGATTTCGATGATCACGGAGTTCCCGTTCCGGAAAAATAAGACGACCCATATGAGGAACTCTTCTGGGCTTTTACACCCTTGTGCCAGGTTTTAGTTTGAACACCCTTGGCTTTTTTACACCAACTACCAGCCTCGGCCCCAATCATGCACCGTGGCAACCTAGTTGATGGTACGCGTAACACATGCCACAAACAATGAAATCTATGTATTGATCGATGTGAGCGGCAGTCTCCAATTGATCCCCTCAAGCGGTAACTGATGACGAGGTGGTCGACTTCGGTCCAGTGCTGTGAAGAGGTTAGCGTTTCCAAGTAAATCGATGTCGCTTCTTGTGTGAGAGGTTCGTACTTGACGGGAACGATCCGTGGTCTCCGTAAAGCTGAAGCAGGCGATTTCCGTTGTTCGGCCGGTTAGCTGGGCATCTTCCTGATTCGTCCATGGACCCCACTTGAGCATCGAAGTCCCTATCGGTGACCATAATTTCCTCTAACCCAACATCCTCATCAACATCGTGAAGCGAACTTCACTGACCGCTGCCAAACTCACAATGCATACAAGGT